GGAGCCTTCTAGCCTGTGCCTATCGTAGGATGCCAGACTGATGGAGTCACAGGCGTATTTATAGGTAGGCTAGGGAATCTTAGGCAAATACTTTAGCCCTAGGAACTTCTCCATAAATTATAATTACCCTAGGGACTCCTAATATATGGTAATTTCTTTCCATCAAAGAAACTACCATAATTAAGAATATTATCTGATATATTATTTCCTTTGGGAGACAAGTTAAATAATTTATTACCTTATATGTGGACCACACTAGAAGTCTCTAGAAGAGACGGTAATTTCTAACATATAAATCAACACGTTATGTCTATTATGTCTGGATTTCTAAAGCAAAAACAAGACCCTTATGAAGAAGTTAGAAGATGGCATCTATGGACATTTTTGAGGCAAGATTTTATCCTTTCTTTGACTTAGGCATGATGAACACTTCATTTTGAGAACTTTTATAACTCAAACATAACAAAATTTACTTAGTAATATGGAGTTCGCACACGGGTACCATAAGACTAGGACCTTAAAAAGAATGAACCTTATTAGTGAAATATTGTTCACCCATTAAAATTAAATTTACATTTGATAAGATCGTAATTAGTTATTTTTTAAATTTTTAGGACTTTAAAAATAATTTAACTATTTTTTATTAAATTATTCCTTACACGATCTAGGTATGAAGTCCTAATATTTGGGACATTAAACTTTATTAAAATTTTATCTTATTTAATCTTTACACAAAAATTAAAAATGACTAACACTCCAAAATCAGCAACTAAACCACAAAATTTTAGCACGTTTGGTCACCCCTATTCTTTCATTAATAGAAAATACCATAATCCTATAAAATACTACACTTAATTAATGCTTTAGTGGGCATTCAGTAACCATAATAAATAGGTCCAGGACTCCAACTTTTGAATATATTACTTTCTAATTCCACTATTAGTTTTGTTTATATATTATAATCGCTTGCATTATATGCAAATAATATTGCGCATTAACAGATGAGGTATTGTTTGTTGGCGCAGCAGTGACCGAATTACTAAAAGGCATCCGAAACCACCTAGGTGCTTGGATAGTGGGTTTTGCTAGCCCAGTCACACATATGCATTGCATCACAGCAGAATTGCAGGTCCTCATAGGAGGACAAAGTCTAGCAGTCCAAATGCAACTACTGCCATTGGAAGTGGAAATTGATGCGCAAGAGGTAATAGCACTATTAGCTACAGACAACATTAGATATACTAATATGATTTTAGAACACAATTATGCAGTCATTGAACAAAATGCTTTTAGGCACCTTTCCCGAGGCTAACATCTCCTAAACTTCCAGCCAATCCGTACCTTTGTTCCCGAAGGTTTTTTTCGGCTACTATAGCAGACACTTCCTTTCAGGTATGATGGATGATAACACAATCTATTTTAGGGTGGGTTTTACATCTTATGACATTGCAAGAGATGAATCAAGAGTAGAGACTTGGTATGATTGGACAGAGCGAGGGCACAACTTGATCAGAAGAACTTTTTTCAGTCAAAAGACGATGGAGTGGCTATGCTATGCCATTAGTGAAGCATCAAAAGTGAAGGGAAACTCAGTTAGAAGATGGAAGTTCCAAGACCACTTTACAGAATTCTTTTGCTCGAGGAACTACAACATGCATGGACGATATATTAGTATCATTAGCTTGCAAGGGAAGGCTAAAAACAAAAGAAGATCAACCGTTATTATCCCAGAAATGACATTTAATACGGGTTGGACAAACATTGCAGTTAAGATCTCAAAGTTCATTAAATGCAAGGCCCAGAAGGCAGTTACATTTACACCCAGAAATACAGAAGAAGATCTTACCTACTCAGAAACAATCAGGAGAAATAAATGGACTACTAGAGAAATGAATGAGGCCTTTGTTCAGGAAAAAGATGGTATCATCAGCATCTCAGGCGAACCCAACTATTCCCAAAACGAACTCCTTTCCAGGAGTGTGGTAGGTTGCCTTCCAGTGGAAATCTCTGACATCCCACTCTCTCAGATATTCGTCTATGGGCTAGTAGCACATGAAAGCAGGCACACGGAGTCAACATCTATGAGATGGGTCAAAATCATTTCCTCTTCGAATTCTCGTCGAAGAAATAGCAGAACACGTCCTCAAAGGGGTCTGGCACAAGAAACACCACAAATTTTCTCTTCAATGGTGGTCACCGACAGCGAGCTCTATCTCCAAAACCTAGGACCTTGATCAGGTTTGGATCAGACTAGTTGGACTCCCTCTACACCTATGGTCCCAGAAAGTATTCAAAGAAGTCGGCAATTATTGTGGAGGTTGGGTTCAAACTGAAGAAGAGACAAAACTCGGAAATCACCTCAAATGGGCGAGGTTGAAGGTGAAAGGGAATGGAGATTTAGTACCAAAGGTGGTTGATGTGGAAAGCGAAGGGATCATCTTTACGATTCAAATATGGTGTGAAGCTCCGGTAATATTCAGCTCCGGCAGTGGCAGCATGGAGGTCTTTAACCAGCAGATAACAAAGCAACCTATGGCAGCAGGGGTGTGCTCAAGATCTCAGTGATGGGATAGGGAATGTGGGCCGTTCTAAGGAGGTACAACCTATGTCTATAATTTTAAAAGAATCATGTGTGTTGTCACGTGAGAAGGCAAGACTCTTAAGTGACCCTTTAAATCCAAGCCCTAAGGAAAATTTTAAGAAACCTTTGGGCCCACATTTTTTGGCCCAAAGTCTTCTGGAGGCCAAGCTGTTAAAAGATATTTCTACAGATCTCAGACCTGATCCATTATCTATAGAAATAGACGTAATCTCTCCATCTTCTTCACTTATCCTGCATGCTACAACCCACGAAATAAAGCCAAACTTGGAGGACACAGACACAACATCAGAAGAAGAGAGAAGAATAGAAGCCCAATTTAACCCAAGCAACGCAGTAGATACCATGTCTGTCACCAAGGAGATAGAAAATTCCTCAACAGAACTGCAAGCAACCAACAACATGCAGATTATTGAAGCAAGTGAAGATGCAAATTGGACAATTGAAGAGGCAGAACCACCGAATATGCAAAGTAGAGAAAATAAGAAGGACCCAGATTTCGACCCTCCAATATGGGTTAACCCAAACATTATCAAGCTAAGCAAAGAGTTTTGATTAGATTTTCAAGGCTGTGAGAAGGAGGTTCTGCAGCTATTCATGAAGATTGATCACAAGAGGCAAGCAAACAAGGGAAAAGCAGAATTGGTGGTGGCAAGAACTCCAAAAACTAAGGGTTTCAAAGAGCTTAAAAGTCTGGACATAGGGAGAAATTTTCAAAGCAATGGCACCAGAAGCAAGGGAGGTTACCTTATCATCAAAGATCAATGAAAGTCAACATCATATCATGGAACGTAAGAGGGCTAAACAGGCAAAGGAAGAGGAAAAGATCAAGAGTTGTATCAATACCTGGAAAGCTGATGTGTATTGCTTTCAAGAATCCAAATTGGAAGATGATATCACAGGAATTGTTAAAAGATCTATGGGCAAAGAGATGGGGGAAATTTGCACAACTGGAAGCCAGCGGAACCAGGGGAGGCATTCTGCTTATATGGGACAGTAGGATTTGGGATGGTGAAGTAAGTAGCTCGGGATCTTACTCTATTTCATGTAAATTCACTGAAAAAACCCAGGACTTCACCTGGCATTTAACTAGTGTTTATGCTCCAAATGATAGAGAAGAAAGAGAAGAGGTTTGGTGGGAAGTTGGCGCAGCTAGGGGATTATTCAATGGCCCCTGGATTGTATGTGGGGATTTTAATACGATTAGATTTCCTCCGGAAAGAAAAATTGCAACAGATTCACTAGAGCAATGACTGATTTCTCTGAATTGATTGAAGACATGGGTTTAGTGGACTTACAACTGTTAGGAGGCAGATTCACTTGGAGAAAAGGAGATAGACACAACTCTGCAGCCAGACTTGACAGATTTCTGATCTTTGAAGACTGGGATGAGGGTATTAGAAACATAAAACAATCAACTCTTCATAGAGTGACTTCTGATCACACCCCATTATTGCTTCAATGTGGGAACTGGAATCAAATAAATCCTATTTCAAATTTGAAAATTGGTGGTTGCAGACAGAGGGATTCAAAGACATGGTCAAAAACTGGTGGCACTCATTTACTTGTGAAGGAAGGCCAGACTACATCTTGGCTTTCAAGTTGAAAGCCTTAAAAGATAAACTCAGAAATTGGAGCAAAACAATCCAAGGGAACCTGGAGATGCAGAAACTCAACATACTCACTCAATTGTCTGAACTAGATTAGATTCAAGATCAAAGAGACCTAAATGAGGATGAAATACTTACCAAAGCTACCTTGTCTATGGAGTTTGAGGAAATTGCTAGACAGCAAGAGGTGGCATGGAGACAGAGATCCACGACAACATGGTTGAAACAAGGGGATAGGAACACAAAGTTCTTTCATAGAACAACCAATGCACACAGAAGACAAAACAACATTGATCTTCTAGAAGTAGAAGGCCAACCTATGAGGAACCCAACTGACATCAAAAAAGAGATTGTCAAATACTACCAAAGCTTGTATGCAGAAATAGAAGAATGGAGGCCGCAAGGCAACCTCAGAGTGTGTCCCACAATCACAGCCGAAGAAAACCAAATGTTAGAGTCCATTTGAGGCTCAAGAGATATGGAATATTGCCCAAGCATGTGCTGGGGACAAAGCCCCAGGACCTGATGGATACTCCATGGCTTTCTTCACCCATTGCTGGGAGGTGGTCAACACATATGTAATAGCTGTTGTACAGAACTTCTATGATAGAGGAATCTTTGAGAAAAGCTTCAATGCAACCTACGTAGCTTTTATCCCAAAGAAGAAGGGCGCCAAAGAACTGAAAGATTTCAAACCTATCTCCCTTATAAGTAGCATCTATAAAATAATTTCAAAACTACTTACTGAGAGACTCAAGAAAGTTGTGCACAAATTGGTAAACACTTAACAAATGGCCTTTATCAAAGGGAGACAGATTATGGACGCCATTCTCATTGCCAACGAGTGTATAGATGCAAGGATAGGAAGTAAGAAACCAGGGATATTGTGCAAACTTGACATTCAGAAGACCTTTGATCATTTGAATTGGAACTTCTTACTTGGGCTCTTAGTGAAGATGGGTTTTGGAGACAGATGGGTCAACTGGATCAAGTTTTTCATAAGTACGGTAAGATTTTCTATCCTAGTAAATGGCTCACCAGTTGGCTTCTTTCCATCACAGAGAGGGCTGAGGCAGGGAGATCCTCTCTCCGCCTTCCTTTTTATCATAGGCATGGAAGGCCTTAATGACATGTTGAAAATTGCTCAAATCAACAATTGGATCAAGGGTTTCAACATATCTTACAAGGCAGCCAGCAACCTAGAAATCACACACCTCCAATATGCAGATGACACACTGGTGTTCTGTGATGCTGACAGAGAACAACTGAGGATGATGAGGGTGATATTCGTTCTATTTGAAGCTATTTCTGGGTTGCACATTAACTGGAGCAAAAGCCAATTATATCCAGTTAATGAGGTAAATGGACTCCAAAACCTGGCTAACATTCTTGGAGGAAAGATAGGGGAACTACCGACTATATATTTAGGCATGACTCGAGGAGCTAAGAGCAAGTCCAAAGGGATTTGGAATGATGTATTGGAGAAATGTGAAAAGAAACTGGTTAACTAGAAAAGTCAATACTTATCCTTGGGAGGAAGACTAATCTTGATTAATAGTGTGTTGGATGCCTTACCTACTTACGTGATGTCTCTATTCTCTTTTCCTGTCAATGTGGTGAAAAGAATAGATGCCATGAGAAGGAAATTTCTGTGGCAAGGCAACAGTGACAACAACAAAATTCATTTGGTCAAATGGGATGCTCTATCAGTCAGCAAGAAGAAAGGAGGACTAGGAATCAGGAATTTGAGAGTACAGAATCACAGCTTGATGATGAAGTGGTTATGGAGATATGGTTCCAATGAAAATTCACTTTAGAAGGAAGTAATCAAAGGGAAATATGGAGTAGAAGGCAACTGGGCAACAAAACATGTTAGTGGTACTTATGGAGTAAGCCTCTGGAAATCCATTAGAAACTTATGGCCAAAATTCAGAAGCAAGGCTAACTTCAGAATAGGTAATGGTTTGAAAACTTCTTTTTGGGAAGACAACTGGCTTGGCCAAAATTCACTTAAGCAGTTATTCCCTAACATCTACATCCTGAACCTGCAACAAGAAGCAACTGTGGGTGAAGTATGGTCTATCCATGGTTGGAACCTTAGCTACAGAAGACTACTCAATGACTGGGAGATAACCAGGATAACAGAATTTTACAAAACATTATATCAGTTCAAGGGGACATCACTCTCTGAAGACTGTATTATATGGCAAGGGAACATGCAAGGTATTTTCTCAGTCAAATCAGCATACAAGGAATTCAACCTCTCTAATAACCAGATTGATTGCTGGCCTTGGAAGTTAATATGGAAAGTCAAAATTCCATATAAAGTTGCCTGCTTTACTTGGATCTTGGCTAGAAAAGCAGTGCTGACTCAGGACATCCTCATCAGAAGGGGTTTCCACCTATGCTCCAAATGTTATCTATGCGGTGAAGAGGCTGAGACAATCAACCATCTTTTTTTGCATTGCAGGATTACAGAACAAATATGAAGGATTTTCATTAATCTGAAGGGGATCATGTGGGTAATGCCTAGGGATATAATGGACGTTCTAAGGTGCTGGAGCAATTACGGCACCTTAACCAATAAGAAAGAAAGATGGAAAATAGTCTCAGCTTGCATTTGGTGGACAGTTTGGTCAGAGAGAAATCAGAGATGCTTTGAAGACAGAAGCAGCACCATACAGAAATTGAAAATGAAATGTTTAGTTCTTTTCCACCTTTGGTGTAAACAGAAGTATATGGAAGATCCAGAATCCATTGTTGATGTCCTAGGCTCTCTGTAGTACAATAGGGATTTAAGATCTTCCTATACCATCTTCTGTAAATTTGATAGACTGCACCCCCTTGGTGCAGTTGATATATTAACAAAATTGTTACCTTCTCAAAAAAATATGATTTCTGATTGCAGGCACCTCCGCAAGATGCTACATGACCCTAGATATACTTATATGATTTCTGATTGCAGGCACCTCCGCAAGATGCTACATGACCCAGTAGTTCTACATGCGAACATGGAACAAAATGGCGTAGCGGATCAACTTGCAAAGTTAGGAAGTAGGATGCAATGCGATGCTACTCTACAACTTTTTGCTGAACCATCACTTTTTGTGTCAAGTCAGTTGCAGGCAGATCAACTAGGAGCCACTACTCAACGCATAGTTTCAATCCTAGGAGCACCGGAAGCAGACTATCAGCATACACAACCATGTTTTGTTAGTAACTTGATAGTTCCAGATACCTTTCAATCTACTGTTCTGAACAATGTTGAGGCAGAATCAGCTGCTTGCACCACTGGGGGTCGTCAATATGTTAGCATTAGGGACGACAACTCCAACTTAGCTGCTACTTTGACTAGTGTTTCTGTATGTTCTAGGGTGCATGAGCACCAACCCCTGTACGCAAACTTTTAATTAATGCAATCTATCTTTTATACCTAAAAAATAAGAATTGCTAATAGGCTGCAGATAGAAAAAGTTAGACCAACAACAGATAAAGTGTCACGCCCCAAAATCGAGGAGCGCGACCGGCGCTCAACCGAGTAAACCCGATTGAGCAAGCCTGTTAGATTTCATTCTACCCAAATTCATCGCTGAATAAAGAGGAGATGTACTCCATTAATCAAATACCGACAATATTTCATTAACCACTTCCATTTTATTCCCATTAATAGCATCATTCAACATTTCCAAAATAGTTTGAGTTTATAGATTTAATGAAAAACATGATTGCCAAATACCAATATTTCTAGTTCAATTCCCAATATCAAAAACTACCCACAAACCTGTCTACAGAGCCTCTAAATACAACTGAAGAGTAATATGGAAATGCCGGCAACAAGGCCCCGCCTATACCTCAAAACGTGGTAAAAATATGAACGAAAGATATAGTACATGACATGACCCCGAGATGGAATGGGGCTCACCGAGTCTGCTGGGAAGAGGATGCACCGCTAGCTACGATCAACCCTGTCATCTATGGAACCACCTACATCCATTTAAAGATGTAGCGCCCCTCCGACAAAAGGGGACGTTAGTACTGTCGAATAGTACTAGTATGTAAAGCTAAATCACCATCTTAATAGAATAAACAATAATACAAGAAGGAAATAATCATCAGTTCGGTAAGAGCTTCAAACAATAGTAAAACATCAAATAAGGGTCACGTAAGTTTTCGAGTCAATTTCCATATTATTAGGTTGAAGAACGTTTAATACTGATATGCCACAATCCATAATACCATCGTGTTCTTACACGGAGTCCGATCTCGACCCGATCGGCTAGGTCAACTCATTTGAGATATCAACCATATCCACAATTTCGATTATCATTTCCAGCACAATTGCCACCATGTGTTCGGCATGGCGTCTGATCACGGCCCGATCGGCTAGGCCATCTCACTTGAGACATCAACCACAATCACGATTTCAATTACAGTTTTCCAATAAAGTCACCACCATGTGTACGACATGGCGTCCGATCACGGCCCGATCGGCTAGGCCATCTCATAAGAGACATCAACCACAGTTACAATTTCAATTCCAACTTTCAATAGAGTCACCACCATGTTTACGGCATGACATCCGATCACGGCCCGATCGGCTAGGCCATCTCATACGAGACATCAACCGCCGTTATATTATTTCACTTGGCACGTTGGCCGTGTTTCATGTTTCACACTTTCACCTCTTTTGTTTTCAAGGATCATTATCAAATATCAACATATAGAATATTTCGAAAATCATAATCCTCAAATTCATTAGTAATGGAAAGTTTAAGCACAAAAGGCTACTTTCCAAAGAATGGGCATACCAACCAGCAAGAGAAACATACATGTACCTTGTGGGCATAAATTGAGTACAAAAGCTTTTAGGCAATTTTATTTTTTGAGTCATTCATGAATAGTCACGTCGAGACTCATTTTATAATCTGTCTCACATCTTCTCATTTCATTGGCAGCACTAGTCACAAATATAACTTAAGTTCTTGGCTCGTTGGCCACACTCTGTTTCCCCAATTCACTTATTTCATATTCAAGCATCCTAGCGGATTATCAACAACAAGACATTTTCAATTAAGGCTTTAGACACACATATGAGCAATTAAGAGTCTCAAGCATATTGAGTTTTTCTTACACGATTGTCATTAGTTTTGATTTGAAACACAACTTGACGTCAAGGCATTTGGACAGGAAACCCATACTTTGAACTCATTCATCCAATAAGACCACAACCTCACAAAAGCATTTAAATTACATAATGAACAACGATATCTTTTGAAACAAGCTCATTCAGAATATTCAATTTACAGTAAGCAACTTGGGGCTTACATGGATATTGTGGGATTCAATTCTAAAAGAAAAGTTTAGTCATAAATACCTTGTCTGAGCTCTCCTTAATAATACTACGACGTCCACCACACTAAACAACTTCAATCTCTTGCAGTAAGAATCTTGAGAATCCCCACTTGTAGTGTTCTTGTCCAATTTGGGGATTTAAATGAAAATCTATGGATCTTCAAGATTAATCCTTGTTAATATAAGTGTTTAGGAGTAGAAATCAACTCAAAATACTCCAAAAACATTATCTTGGTTCACAAGAAGTGACAGCTAATTTTCTGACCCAATCCTCGAGGTCGGGCACCGCTAGGGGCGCCCAAGCATCGTCTGTTGAAAGAAAGATGAGAGAATTATGGAAAATTAAAGAACATATATAGAAACAAAAAAAAACGGGCTCCACTTACGACTAAAGTTCCACCTCTCCGGGAACGGCATTTTTTCCTCGGGGATGATGTCCGAAGTCCTGACTCTAACAAATTGGCTCATCTAACCCCGACCTTTGGTTTCATCGGTGCTGGCGAAGAAGGACTTTGTGGTTCGACGTTGCAGCTTGATGAGCCCTCGGAATAATAAGGGCCAATACAACCAGACTAGGTGGTTGAGGGTGAATTCCAAACCCTCGGCGTTCTTGGAGAAAAACCACGGCATGATCACGATGCGCTAGAACGAAGGGTGGATTTTACCAAGGGTGACTTCTTATGTCTTGCAGAAGTCGATCACCACCGGATCGAGGGGGCCCAGTGTGAAGGGGTAAGTGTAAACACTCAAAAAACCCTCCTTATGGGTAGTTATGCTTTCATCAGTCCTCGGGATCTGCACCTCGACCTTATCTCCCCACCGGCAATCCTCCTTTACTTCCTTGACGAGATGCTTAGTTATCAGGCTAATGTATCGGGATACGTGCTTGCATCGACCCTCGACATCTGGAGGATTCTCGATAGTGAAGCCCTTCTTGATAATGCAATCACCAGGGGTGATTTCTTCAAGTGTTGGCGGCACCACCGGTTTGGCCAGCCGGGAGGCATAGGAAGATGATGCTTTATCCTTTTTGGGGATCGTATTTGAAGTTTTTGCCATAGTTATAAGCTAAGTATTACGGGTGCACAGGGATGTGGTGTTTTCAGGCAAGAGCTTCGTGTTTTTTCTAACGCTTAAAGAGGCGGAGGAAATAAGTGAT